GCTGAATCTCCCCCCTCCCCCCCTCCCCCCCTCCTTCGTCCCCTCTTGTGGGTACTCTGCCAAATAAACCTCAGAACAGGCTTGTTTTTAAAAGTTTATTCTCTGAGAGTATGTCTTTTTCGTCCATTATCTTTGGATGGACAGGTCATTCAGAAACTATTATCCTTCAATGAACTGGATTTTTTTTTTTTTTTTTTTTGCCGCCGCCATCAAATCGAAAAAAAAAGAGAGCAGTAACCTCAATACTAGAAAATGTAGTACATTTTTTTTTTCACACATACATATTACAACTCACCCCCCCCCATTTCCCCTCCTCCCCCTCCCCTCTCCAGTGTCACTGCTCCCGGATGGTCACGTGATGTAATAGCCACTTGACAAGGGGGAGGGGACAGTGTGTGTGGGGAAGGGGGGGGGCAGAGGGGCAAGAATGAAGGGGAGGGGGGACGAGCTGGGGGGGGAGTGGGGGAGGGATGGAGAAGAGGGGAGGAGAGAACAGGGAGAAGGAGAGAGTAGGAGGGAGGGGGGGGGGCGAAGATGAAGGACAGAGCAAAGGGGGGGGAAGGGTGAAAGGGAAGGGAGGTTAACAAGGGACAGGCGGTTGGCAGCGGGTGTGTGGGGGGGGGGGGAACGCAAATTAAGGGGAAGTGAACAAGGAGTGAACAAGAGACAGAGAGACATGACAGACAGACAGACGAAGGGAAAAACAGAGAGATAAAACAAAAGACATGAACACGAAGATGAAGTGCAGAGAGAGAGAGAGAGAGAGAGAGAGAGAGAGTGAGAGAGAGAGAGATAGAGGGGGGGTTGAAAGAGGAAAGAAGTGTGGGGGGGGGGGGTATTCGAAAAGGATCTTACCCCCACCGAATTCAGGCTTCCAGGATGTAAAGACAATCATTTCATATAAAAACGATAGGGTGTTGTTACCTGTGATTTACGCGTGGCGCCAGATCTTTGGGGCTTCAGTCAGGTCTGGCGCGTGCGTGAGCGAACGACCATGAACGGCACATTCCTAGGGCGGATTTTGTGAACTGGCTCGGTGTGGATCAGTCTGGGGATATCTGGTCATACGTACATGTGTACATATATATATATGCATTCACACGTACATATATACATACGTGCATACATACATAAATACATACACAAACATTAATTCATACATACATACATACATACATACACAAATACATTTATTTACACATACATACATGGATGTATAAATATATACATAAAGGCTATACATATTTGCATATATACATGTATACAGTACATACATCCGTGCATACGTATATGTATACATATACGTATACATGTATATGTATAAACATATATGCATACATTCATCAATTCATGCATATACAGATACATGTGTATACACACAAATAGTACACACACAAAAACATGTACACATGTGCATATATTTTCATATTCAAATGCTTGCTATACGGCCAATGGTTGTGAATGTTTCCTTGAGATTATTGTGTTCCTAAAAGCAGCTTCTAATCTCTCTCTCTCTCTCTCTCTCTCTCTCTCTCTCTCTCTCTCTCTCTCTCTCTCTCTCTCTCTCTCTCTCTCTCTCTCTCTCTCTCTCTCTCTCTCTCTCCCTCCCCCTCCCTCTCCCTCTCTCTCTCTCCCTCTCTATCTCTCTCTCCCTCTCCCTCTCTCTCTCTTTATCCCTCTCTCTCTCTCTCTCGATATGCGTTCAACAAAGAGAACTTATCCGTGCATGTGAAAAACACGGCGCAGTCTAGCAAAGGACGCACAGCTGGCTCTAGGTGATTATAATTAGCAACACATTACCTACGTCATCCATGTTAGGGGGTACGTCATCTCCCCCCCCCCCGCCTCCCCTTTCTCTTGCTTTCACCCCTTCATTCTTTATTACGCTTATTTTTTTCCATTGTGCTTTCCATTCTCTTGGCTGTTTGTCTGTCAGTCTCTGTCTGTCACACTATATAAATTTATCGATATATCTATCAATATATAAGTTTATTAGTCGATTTCTTGTATCTCTCCTCCCTCTCCCCCCCCCCATCTTTCTCTCTCTCTCTCTCTCTCTCTCTCTCTCTCTCTCTCTCTCTCTCTCTCTCTCTCTCTCTCTCTCTCTCTCTATGTTCTTGGCGTGCTTTTATTACTCAATTTTTACTTGTTCTGTTGTCCTTTGCCTATTTATTTTTCTTATTTCCCTTTTTTCTCTGACAATCACTTTCTTTTTCGTTTTTGTTGCTGTTATTTTTTTCTGATTTACCTTTTTTTCATTACTTGTCCTTTTTACGTTTTATTAGAGAGAGAGAGAGAGAGAGAGAGAGAGAGAGAGATGAGGAGGAAGAGGAGGAGGAAGAGAAGTTAGAAATAGAGAAATAAGAAAAGTAAAAGCAGAAACAAAATTCATCATTCCCTCTTCCAAGGCCAAGAAGGGAGAGAGAGGGAAGGGAAGATGGGGAAGGAGGGAGAGGAATGGGAGGAAATGGGAAAGGAGGGGAAAGGAAGAGATGGTAAGGGAAGGGAAGGGAAAGGAAGAGAAGAAGGAAGGGAAGGGGGTGGGAAGGGAGGGGGAGGGAATAGAAATAAGGAATGGGGAGGGGAAGGGAGAAGATGGAAAGGGAAGGGAAAGAGATGGGGAAGGAAGGGAAGGGGGTGGTAGGGAGGAGAGGGAGGGGAAGGGAGGGGGGTTGTCACGTGGGTTACTGTGTGCTCTGCTTTGCCTAACCTTGCCGACGGCGGGACAACAGGAGGTACAGAATCAGCTGATTTTTGGCACGTTATCGAGCAAGACGCCAAAAAGAAATGAAAAGGAAAAAATCTTGTTTTTTTCATATCGGCCGTAGATTTTGTTGTGTATTTCTTGTATTTTTGTTGAGAGAGAGAAAGAGAGAGAGAGAGAGAGAGAGAGACAGAGAGACAGACAGAGATGGATACAGAGAGAAAGATAAAGATAAAGACAGAGAAAGATACAGAGAGAAAGAGAAAGAGAGAGACAGAGATTAAGAGAGAGACACAGAAAGATACAGAGAGAAAGAGAAAGAGAAAAACAGAGAAAGAGAAAGAGAGAGACGGAGATGGATACAGAGAGAAAGAGAAAGAGAGAGACAGAGATGGATACAGAGAGAAAGAGAAAGACAAAGACAAAGAAAGAGAAAGAGAGAGTTGGGGCGGCTTGAAGAAGGGACTTGGAATCGGTAGTGCTTTATTGCACGAGGGAGGGAGAGGAGTGTAAAAAGGAAAGAGGAAAGAATTGAATAAGACAAGGAGATTATGTGGGGGAGAGGGAGGGGCGAGGAGGGGGGGGGATAGGGATAAGTGGTTGATAGGAAGGAGTTTGCATGATGGATAAAGGGAGGGAAAGGAAAAAAATATAAAATAATATTTAAAAAATCGAAAAAAACAAGAGAAAACTAAACAAGAAAAATAGAAAGAGAGAGAGGGGGGGGGAGAGGAGAGGAGATGGGGGGGGGGGATTGCTCGAGGATGAAGGAGGAAGGGAAAGGATCTGAGTGAAGGAGGGGGGGGTTGTGGTGGGAGGGGGAGAGGGGGAAAGCGAGGCGCAGCAGGAAGCAGCAGACTAATGGGGAAGTTGGGCAGGGCGCAGTTAACAAGCTTGAGGGAGAGGGAGAGGGAGAGGGAGAATGGCAGTGGGAATGAGCGTGAGTAAGAGAGAGAAAGAGGAAGGGAGAGGGAGAGAGAAAGAGGGAGAGGGTCAGAGACAGAGAGAAAAAGAGGGAGAGGAAGAGAGAGAGAATGGGAAACAGAGAGAAAGGGAAACAGAGAGAAAGAGAGAGAGAGAGAGAGAGAGAGAGAGAGAGAGAGAGAGAGAGAGAGAGAGAGAGAGAGAGGTGACGAGAAAGAAATAACAGAGATAACGACAAACGACCTAACAAGAGATCGAAGCAGATATAAAAAAAAATCCCTTTGAAATTTAAAAAAAATGAAAGAGAAATAGAGAAAAAACGCGTTTGTGAGCGAAGAAGTTAAGGAAAGACAAATCTAACCACGACAAGATACATTTTTTTTCACGACTTTGCCTTAGCCTGAGCATACAAGCGTGCCAAAGGGTTAAGAAAGGGTGGAGATAAAAACGATAGGTAAAGGTCAGGGTAAAAAGGGGGGAGGGGGAGGGGGAGAGGGGAGCGGGAAAGAGGAGATTAAATGGCTGGTCAGCGACAAGGGGATAAGGGGTAGGGACGGAAAGGGTGGTAGAAAAGGAAGAAGAGAAACAAAAGAGATGGAAGACTGCTAATCTCGAGGAAAGAAGGGAGAAGGGAAGAAGAAAAAGGCGAAGAGGAACGGGGAGAAGGTATAATGGACGCTAATCAAGATGTCTGAATGCGAAGGAGAGGAGAGAAGGTCAAGACAGGGGGAAGGAGGCGAGAGCAATGTAAGAAAGGAGGGCAGGAAAATCAGGAAAGGTGGAAGAAGGGAAAACGAGGTCAAGAGATGGTTAAGGAGGCGAGAGGAAGAGGGAACCGAGACGGGTAAAAAGGGGGGAGGAAAAGACGAAGAAAGATCATGGAAGGGGAAGAAGAAATAAGGAAGAGGTAATGAAGGAAGAACAAAAAGTATATAGACTATGAAAAATCGTAAATCGAGAGAAAACCGTACCATTTCTTCTCGCGAGTGGTCTAGTCTGAAAGCCTAAGGACAGGCGCGGCAAGGGGGAGGAAAGAAACGGTGTGGTCTGAAAGCCTGGTGGTCTGAAGTCTGAAACTCTGGCACTGACGGGTTAGGACAGGCGCGGAGAGGGGAAAGGAAAATCCGCGTGGTCTGAAGGTCAGAGAGTCAGGTCTGGCGCCGCTGAGTCAGGGCAGGCGCGACGAGGGGAAGAAATATGGTCTGAAAGTCTAAAAGTCTAGCAGTCTTAAGGTGTGGCGGATCAGATCAGGTCTCGCGGTCCGGCGCTGTTGGGTCAGGACAGGCGCGGAGAAGGGAAAGTAAAAACGGCGTGGTCTGAGGGTCTGAACGTCTGAAAGTCTGGCGGTCTGGCACTGGCGGGTCAGGGCAGCACGATTGCGGCGGCGTGGCGGCGGTGCGAGCGTCAGTGTCCCGACCCGAGCGGCTCTCAGTGCCCCGAGTGCCACCTGTGTGTTCTGGCCGCTGTGGCTCCGCTCGCCCCCACCTGTTAGCGAAGAACCGAGGGAGGTTTCCTCCTGCGCCCGTCAGCAGATCTCGAGGGCGGACGCGCAGGGACGTTGGAGGAGTGTTGTGATTTATAAAAGGAAATGTATAAATACTTGCTTTTCTCTTGTTTGTAAAGTTTCTTGCGGGTGAGCGGTGAAGAGAAGTATTCCGTTCTTGAAGTACTTTGTGAAGACTTGGAAATTGATCGCTGTAGATCAGTAATAACTGAAAAAAGTTAAAAGTATGCAGCTTCGGCCTACATAACTTATGGATAACTTTTGAGTTAAGTTCCCACAAAACACTGTCTGTTTGGCTCTTCTTCGCAGCGCCTTATCAACGCCTCGAGGATAAGCCGAAGCTTGAAGCGCGTGCGGCATGTCTTGACCTGACTGATCTGGCGTGATGATTCAGGTCATAACGGGTCACACTGTTTTTCTGTTGACTTACTTGCACCGCATGTGGGGCATACAGTGGAAGAGAGGCATGTTCGGGATTGTCTGAAAAAGTGGAAGCCGAGATTTTGTGGCGATGCTTTGCTAGAAAGGAAAGGAGAAACAGAAAATAAATGTCATTAAATATCTTTGTGGTGAATGAAGAGAAGTAAAGTTATTGTCAAGAGTTGTTTGGTGAAAACGGGAGTGAATTTAAGAGCCTTATAGTTTTTACCCTTGACGGGGGAACATTAAGATTAGTCGCTGATTATTCAGAGAATCGTGTTTATTTCCCTAAAAACAGTTTCAGAGATCTAACAAGCCCTTATTTAGTGGATAAAAATATATACCAGTATTTCTTAAGATTATCATTATTCATTTTCCTTAAGACGTTTTGGTGTCCTGATTCTTGCGACCCAAAGAGGTCTTATGCGTCCTCATTCCCCAAGCACTCGAATTTTCTGAGAAGAAGTCCGCGAATTCCTCTAATCTCTCCCGAAGATCCTCCGAGACGCGTTCCATCAGTCAGGCTTTTTCAGTCGACCATCTGACTGCCTCCTGACCGACTGGTATTGAAATCAGTCGCGCGTATTTTACTCAGATTTATCCCAGTACTGAGGAACGAGAAGCGAGTTGGTCGGCGCTGTGACTAATTGAACACGAGGTGGAGCCAGCTGGTTGACTGCAGTTGGCACCACCTGGATCATGTGATGCCTTGAAGAAGTGGCTTGTCACACGAGCTGCTGCCTTGAGTCCCGCTCTCGTGGATCTGACGCCTGCAAGATGAGGACCTTTAGATGCTTGGGATGCCTGCGTTCTTGAGACACTTTCGGAGTGGGCGTTTGAGTTAGATTATAAGGACTCGAGATCAAGAAAGGACTCTGAAGCATATTGCGTTGAGCGTCAATTTGACGTCTGAGAGAGAGAGAGTGCGAGCCAGCCAAGTCTTGGGTGAAGGGCGAATTGAGAATGAGCGCCCCCTAATCAAGGCCGCCTCGAGGACAATGTGACAAAACGCGGAGGCCTGATCAGCGTAGCAGCATCTCTCATCTCGCCGCCCGAGAAAACCCTTTAATTAACCCTGAGACTGCTGGGCGATCCGAACCAGGGAAGAGTGCCAACAGTGACAGTCGTCTGTTATATCCGAGTGTCTTATGGATTAGTACTGTATCGTTCTCTTGTATAGTGAATAAATTCGCCGGTCAACGAAAGAGTTTTTGCGCCGGGTTCGTTATGAGGGGATGGTGATGAGTCTGAATATGTCGCTCAGGGATGGGGAGGGTTCGAACCCTCCCACGTCGTCCACGTCGTCCTCGCCGCCGTCGCGGGCTCCCTCCGTCTCCGATCTGCTGGTGGACGACCCCCTTCGAGAGGCGGTGCTGGCAAACATCGAAAGCCTCCAGGACACGCTCGCGGAGACACCGCTCCTGAAGGAGTGCGAGGACGAGCCCTCCATCATCGGCTCGCATGGCCTGCCCTTACTGGACCTGGCCCCGAGCACGCCCCTCTCGGTCAGCCCGGGCTCGCCGCCGCCGCACCTGGGCGCCCCCCTCCTCCCGACGCCCCCCACCAGCCCCGTGAACATCCATGTGTTCGACTCGGACGAGGAGTCCCCGTGCGCCGACCTCACCACGCCGCTCAAGTTTGACTGTAATGAGGCGACGTGGCGGCCGTCCGAGGAGGTGCCGGAGCCCCGCCTCAGCCCAACGCGGGTCATCCCGACCATCGACTACCTGCAGGTGCCGCCGCACCACAGGGCGAAGCTCAGGAAGAGGCGTCGCGTGTCTTTCAGCAAGGGGGCGGATGCGCCGGGAATCCCCTCGCCGCCGTTGTGCCCGACGGGGATGCCGGCGCTCACCGAGGCCGTCGTCACCGAGCCTCCCCTGGAGGAGTCGTCCGAAGACGACTTGGTCGAGGAATCCATCCAGGCCAACGGCGGCGTCCTGCAGGTGCCCGGCCCCGTGGCCGAGAGGTCCTCCAACCTCAGCGCCGCCAACTGCGTCATCAAGATCCCCAAGAAGCAGCGGAAGCCCTCCTTCTCCAACATCGACATTCCGTGCTACCACCGGCGGCCGTCGGGCCAGGCGCTCGACGTCAACTTCGACTACACCTTCACAGTGGTACGTTGTCTGCGTGCGGGCGGGGAGGCAGGCGGGGATGGGAAAGCAAAACGAAATAGGGAGGGAAAAGAGGAAAAAAACATTTGTAATGAACACTGGGAAAGAGAAAATATGGCTCGATGAGTTTGCACAGACATATATTAAGCACCCCTTGTCATCCCCCACCCCCTTGTCATCCCCCACCCCCTTGTCATCCCCCACCCCCTTGTCATCCCCCACCCCCTTGTCATCCCCCACCCCCTTGTCATCCCCCACCCCCTTGTCATCCCCCACCCCCTTGTCATCCCCCACCCCCTTGTCATCCCCCACCCCCTTGTCATCCCCCACCCCCTTGTCATCCCCCACCCCCTTGTCATCCCCCACCCCCTTGTCATCCCCCACCCCCTTGTCATCCCCCACCCCCTTGTCATCCCCCACCCCCTTGTCATCCCCCACCCCCTTGTCATCCCCCACCCCCTTGTCATCCCCCACCCCCTTGTCATCCCCCACCCCCTTGTCATCCCCCACCCCCTTGTCATCCCCCACCCCCTTGTCATCCCCCACCCCCTTGTCATCCCCCACCCCCTTGTCATCCCCCACCCCCTTGTCATCCCCCACCCCCTTGTCATCCCCCACCCCCTTGTCATCCCCCACCCCCTTGTCATCCCCCACCCCCTTGTCATCCCCCACCCCCTTGTCATCCCCCACCCCCTTGTCATCCCCCACCCCCTTGTCATCCCCCACCCCCTTGTCATCCCCCACCCCCTTGTCATCCCCCACCCCCTTGTCATCCCCCACCCCCTTGTCATCCCCCACCCCCTTGTCATCCCCCACCCCCTTGTCATCCCCCACCCCCTTGTCATCCCCCACCCCCTTGTCATCCCCCACCCCCTTGTCATCCCCCACCCCCTTGTCATCCCCCACCCCCTTGTCATCCCCCACCCCCTTGTCATCCCCCACCCCCTTGTCATCCCCCACCCCCTTGTCATCCCCCACCCCCTTGTCATCCCCCACCCCCTTGTCATCCCCCACCCCCTTGTCATCCCCCACCCCCTTGTCATCCCCCACCCCCTTGTCATCCCCCACCCCCTTGTCATCCCCCACCCCCTTGTCATCCCCCACCCCCTTGTCATCCCCCACCCCCTTGTCATCCCCCACCCCCTTGTCATCCCCCACCCCCTTGTCATCCCCCACCCCCTTGTCATCCCCCACCCCCTTGTCATCCCCCACCCCCTTGTCATCCCCCACCCCCTTGTCATCCCCCACCCCCTTGTCATCCCCCACCCCCTTGTCATCCCCCACCCCCTTGTCATCCCCCACCCCCTTGTCATCCCCCACCCCCTTGTCATCCCCCACCCCCTTGTCATCCCCCACCCCCTTGTCATCCCCCACCCCCTTGTCATCCCCCACCCCCTTGTCATCCCCCACCCCCTTGTCATCCCCCACCCCCTTGTCATCCCCCACCCCCTTGTCATCCCCCACCCCCTTGTCATCCCCCACCCCCTTGTCATCCCCCACCCCCTTGTCATCCCCCACCCCCTTGTCATCCCCCACCCCCTTGTCATCCCCCACCCCCTTGTCATCCCCCACCCCCTTGTCATCCCCCACCCCCTTGTCATCCCCCACCCCCTTGTCATCCCCCACCCCCTTGTCATCCCCCACCCCCTTGTCATCCCCCACCCCCTTGTCATCCCCCACCCCCTTGTCATCCCCCACCCCCTTGTCATCCCCCACCCCCTTGTCATCCCCCACCCCCTTGTCATCCCCCACCCCCTTGTCATCCCCCACCCCCTTGTCATCCCCCACCCCCTTGTCATCCCCCACCCCCTTGTCATCCCCCACCCCCTTGTCATCCCCCACCCCCTTGTCATCCCCCACCCCCTTGTCATCCCCCACCCCCTTGTCATCCCCCACCCCCTTGTCATCCCCCACCCCCTTGTCATCCCCCACCCCCTTGTCATCCCCCACCCCCTTGTCATCCCCCACCCCCTTGTCATCCCCCACCCCCTTGTCATCCCCCACCCCCTTGTCATCCCCCACCCCCTTGTCATCCCCCACCCCCTTGTCATCCCCCACCCCCTTGTCATCCCCCACCCCCTTGTCATCCCCCACCCCCTTGTCATCCCCCACCCCCTTGTCATCCCCCACCCCCTTGTCATCCCCCACCCCCTTGTCATCCCCCACCCCCTTGTCATCCCCCACCCCCTTGTCATCCCCCACCCCCTTGTCATCCCCCACCCCCTTGTCATCCCCCACCCCCTTGTCATCCCCCACCCCCTTGTCATCCCCCACCCCCTTGTCATCCCCCACCCCCTTGTCATCCCCCACCCCCTTGTCATCCCCCACCCCCTTGTCATCCCCCACCCCCTTGTCATCCCCCACCCCCTTGTCATCCCCCACCCCCTTGTCATCCCCCACCCCCTTGTCATCCCCCACCCCCTTGTCATCCCCCACCCCCTTGTCATCCCCCACCCCCTTGTCATCCCCCACCCCCTTGTCATCCCCCACCCCCTTGTCATCCCCCACCCCCTTGTCATCCCCCACCCCCTTGTCATCCCCCACCCCCTTGTCATCCCCCACCCCCTTGTCATCCCCCACCCCCTTGTCATCCCCCACCCCCTTGTCATCCCCCACCCCCTTGTCATCCCCCACCCCCTTGTCATCCCCCACCCCCTTGTCATCCCCCACCCCCTTGTCATCCCCCACCCCCTTGTCATCCCCCACCCCCTTGTCATCCCCCACCCCCTTGTCATCCCCCACCCCCTTGTCATCCCCCACCCCCTTGTCATCCCCCACCCCCTTGTCATCCCCCACCCCCTTGTCATCCCCCACCCCCTTGTCATCCCCCACCCCCTTGTCATCCCCCACCCCCTTGTCATCCCCCACCCCCTTGTCATCCCCCACCCCCTTGTCATCCCCCACCCCCTTGTCATCCCCCACCCCCTTGTCATCCCCCACCCCCTTGTCATCCCCCACCCCCTTGTCATCCCCCACCCCCTTGTCATCCCCCACCCCCTTGTCATCCCCCACCCCCTTGTCATCCCCCACCCCCTTGTCATCCCCCACCCCCTTGTCATCCCCCACCCCCTTGTCATCCCCCACCCCCTTGTCATCCCCCACCCCCTTGTCATCCCCCACCCCCTTGTCATCCCCCACCCCCTTGTCATCCCCCACCCCCTTGTCATCCCCCACCCCCTTGTCATCCCCCACCCCCTTGTCATCCCCCACCCCCTTGTCATCCCCCACCCCCTTGTCATCCCCCACCCCCTTGTCATCCCCCACCCCCTTGTCATCCCCCACCCCCTTGTCATCCCCCACCCCCTTGTCATCCCCCACCCCCTTGTCATCCCCCACCCCCTTGTCATCCCCCACCCCCTTGTCATCCCCCACCCCCTTGTCATCCCCCACCCCCTTGTCATCCCCCACCCCCTTGTCATCCCCCACCCCCTTGTCATCCCCCACCCCCTTGTCATCCCCCACCCCCTTGTCATCCCCCACCCCCTTGTCATCCCCCACCCCCTTGTCATCCCCCACCCCCTTGTCATCCCCCACCCCCTTGTCATCCCCCACCCCCTTGTCATCCCCCACCCCCTTGTCATCCCCCACCCCCTTGTCATCCCCCACCCCCTTGTCATCCCCCACCCCCTTGTCATCCCCCACCCCCTTGTCATCCCCCACCCCCTTGTCATCCCCCACCCCCTTGTCATCCCCCACCCCCTTGTCATCCCCCACCCCCTTGTCATCCCCCACCCCCTTGTCATCCCCCACCCCCTTGTCATCCCCCACCCCCTTGTCATCCCCCACCCCCTTGTCATCCCCCACCCCCTTGTCATCCCCCACCCCCTTGTCATCCCCCACCCCCTTGTCATCCCCCACCCCCTTGTCATCCCCCACCCCCTTGTCATCCCCCACCCCCTTGTCATCCCCCACCCCCTTGTCATCCCCCACCCCCTTGTCATCCCCCACCCCCTTGTCATCCCCCACCCCCTTGTCATCCCCCACCCCCTTGTCATCCCCCACCCCCTTGTCATCCCCCACCCCCTTGTCATCCCCCACCCCCTTGTCATCCCCCACCCCCTTGTCATCCCCCACCCCCTTGTCATCCCCCACCCCCTTGTCATCCCCCACCCCCTTGTCATCCCCCACCCCCTTGTCATCCCCCACCCCCTTGTCATCCCCCACCCCCTTGTCATCCCCCACCCCCTTGTCATCCCCCACCCCCTTGTCATCCCCCACCCCCTTGTCATCCCCCACCCCCTTGTCATCCCCCACCCCCTTGTCATCCCCCACCCCCTTGTCATCCCCCACCCCCTTGTCATCCCCCACCCCCTTGTCATCCCCCACCCCCTTGTCATCCCCCACCCCCTTGTCATCCCCCACCCCCTTGTCATCCCCCACCCCCTTGTCATCCCCCACCCCCTTGTCATCCCCCACCCCCTTGTCATCCCCCACCCCCTTGTCATCCCCCACCCCCTTGTCATCCCCCACCCCCTTGTCATCCCCCACCCCCTTGTCATCCCCCACCCCCTTGTCATCCCCCACCCCCTTGTCATCCCCCACCCCCTTGTCATCCCCCACCCCCTTGTCATCCCCCACCCCCTTGTCATCCCCCACCCCCTTGTCATCCCCCACCCCCTTGTCATCCCCCACCCCCTTGTCATCCCCCACCCCCTTGTCATCCCCCACCCCCTTGTCATCCCCCACCCCCTTGTCATCCCCCACCCCCTTGTCATCCCCCACCCCCTTGTCATCCCCCACCCCCTTGTCATCCCCCACCCCCTTGTCATCCCCCACCCCCTTGTCATCCCCCACCCCCTTGTCATCCCCCACCCCCTTGTCATCCCCCACCCCCTTGTCATCCCCCACCCCCTTGTCATCCCCCACCCCCTTGTCATCCCCCACCCCCTTGTCATCCCCCACCCCCTTGTCATCCCCCACCCCCTTGTCATCCCCCACCCCCTTGTCATCCCCCACCCCCTTGTCATCCCCCACCCCCTTGTCATCCCCCACCCCCTTGTCAT